TTGTTACTCTGTTAATTGTCTGAGTCAATTCTTAGCTGCTCCCCAGACAAGTCACCTTCAAGCTACTCTAAGGATTCTACAGTATATTAAAGGAACACCAGGATAAGGGATTCACTTCCCTGCAAATTCTAATATTCAAGTAAAAACCTTCTCTGATGCCGACTGGGGCATCTGTCCTGGCACCCGAAGATCTCTAACATGATATTGTATTTTTGGCAGATCATCACTCATATCATGGAAATCCAAAAAGCAACAAACTGTGTTTCGATCTTCTGCAGAAGCTGAATATCGCTCTATGGCAAATACAACATGTGAAATAGTATAGATCTTGAATTTAATGAAAGATTTGAATGTCAAGCACATAGGGTCAGCATTATTATATCGTGACAATCAAGCTGCTCTTTATATAGCTGCCAATCCGGTTTATCATGAAAGAACAAAACACATCGAATTAGATTGTCATTTTATTCGAGAAAAGATCTAAGACGGAACACTCAAAACCATGCACGTCTCTTCCAACAACCAACTTGCAGACTTGATGACTAAAGCTCTTCCTTTTACACAGTTCCATACACTTTTAAGTAAGATGAGTACGATCAATATGTACTCTCCATCTTGAGGGGGAATATTAAAATTAATTATTTGTTTTTCTGTTATCAATTTTGTTATCATTTTTGTTATAACAAACCGCATGTATATTTCCTTGTTCTGCCCTTTACTTTGTATATAAATAGTATACATACAAATATCAATATACAACAAAAATTCATGGTTTATTTACTTTTCTAATAGGTACATGTAGATATATTGTGTCCTTACAGTCAGGTGTCACTTTCAGGTGCTTTCTATGTTTTAATGATCGTTGAGGACAAGAGCAGTTGTACCTGGACTTATCTCATGAACAGTAAGGCGCAAACCCGTTTTTTGCTTGAAAAATTCATTTAGATGGTCATGAATCAGTTTGACAATAAGGTAAAGGTAGTGAGAACTGATAATAGAACTGAGTTCTTGAGTACTACTTGTCAAAGATTTTTTGGTGAGATGGGTATAATGTACCATACAACCTGTTTGTATACTCCTCAATAGAGTGGGAGGGTAGAGCGAAAATATAGACATTTGTTGTTGGTAGCTCGAGCCTTATTATTTCAGGCTGCCTTGCCAATCAACTTTTTGGGAGAAACTCTACTACATGCCACATATATCAGCAACAGATTGCCGACAGTAATACTACAACGGAAAACCCCATGTGAGATATGATATGGAAAGCCCCCTGATTATAACAGGCTAAAGGTATTATGCTATTCCACAAACACTCAACCAAACAAGCATAATTTGTCTCAAGAGCATCCAAGTGTATTTTTATGGGGATGGTTGCAGGGAAGAAAGGCTACAAACTATTTGATCTTAGTAGAAATCAATTTATGGTGTCTAGAGATGTCGTCTTCTTTTAGAACCAATTTCCTTATGCAGATGAGACACACATGGAAGCCTTAATAAGCTTACCCAAAGTTCCAATGGCTGGAACAAGTGTTAATCAGGATGATAACTTAAGGTTTGTTCATGCAACTGATGGGGATAATTTTCAAGCTCCTGGTCTTGATGCACCAGTAGATACACTAGCTGATGATCACCGCAGTTGTGATGCTGCAATAGAAGATAGAGAAGCTCCAGAACAAAGAAGAAGTATCAGAATAAAGAAAAAACTGAGCTGGTTGGAAGAATATATCAATAATGTCAATTGTAGATTCACAAATGCAGTCATAACGCATTTACCAAGCACATTTCCATTTGTTTTCAGCCCAAAATTGAACACTGAGGATGCAAATGTTTTAGCAAATATAATTATGTTGCAGGAACCAAAAAGCTATAAATAAGCAAGGCAATCCGAGGAATGGTTTGAAGCCATGAGAGCTAAAATAGCTGGTTTGGAAAAAAATGAAACCTAGTCTTTAACTACATTGCCTCCTGAAAAATCAGTGATTGGAAGTAGGTGGGTCAACAATCTAAAGTTAAAACCAGATGGTATAATAGATATATACAAGGCAAGGTTAGTGGCAAAAGGATATCATCAAGTGGAGGGGAGAGATTATTTTGATAGCTTTTTACCAGTGGCAAAGATGGTCACTGAGGATTTTAATAGTTGTTACGATAGATAGACAATGGGTATTGCACCAGTTAGATGTCAACAATACATTTCTTCACGGATATCTAAATGAAGAAGTTTATATGCTACCTCCAGAAGGATATGAAAAGGCACAAAAGGGGCAGGTATGCAAACTCCAGAGGTCACTCTTATGGTTTAAAATAGGCATCCAGATAGTGAAATTCAGAATTATCACTTTTTCTAGTAAATTATGGATTCCTGCAGTCAGTTGATGATCATTGCCTTTTTTCTTGTCATAAAATCAACACTTTATAGTCATACTTGTCTATGTAGATGACCTGCTTATTACTGGTAACTCAAAGCCAGAAATATACGAGCTAAAGAAAGCGTTGGATGAAAAGTTCACTATTAAGGATATGGGAGATGCAAGATACTTTCTGGGCCTGGAGATCACAAAAACAATTAATGAGATATATGTAAATCAGAGGAAGTATATGTATGACATACTCAAGGGTGTTGGTCTTCTTGGTGCAAAACCTAAATCCACTCCATTTCCAAAAGGACAGCAATTACATTCAGACAATTCACCATTGCTTGAGGATCCTCAACAATATAGAAGTATTGTCGGAAAACATTATACTTAGGTTTTACTCGTCCAGACTTTGTTTATTCAGCCCAACAGCTCAGAATTCAAGACATATATATGAAAATGGTGCATCATGTCCTTAAGTATCTGAAGCAAGAACCATCATTAGGTGTTTTGTTTTCAGGCAAAAATACATTCGAGATTACTTCTTATTGTGATTCAGATTAGGCAACATGTCCAGAGGCTCGAAAATCTCTCACTGGATGCTGTATATTTCTGGGATCCTCACTGATTTTGTAGAAGACGAAGGAGCAAACAACCGTGAGTCGTAGCTTAGCAGAAGCAGAATACAGATTCATGACAATGACAATCTGTGAATTGCAGTGGATTATGTACATTCTAAAAGAATTAGAAGTGCCTTATACTCTGCCAATAGAACTTAAATGTGATAATAAAGTAGCTATGAACATAGCCGCTAATCCGGTATTTCATTAAAGAACTAAACACTTGGATATTAACTGTTATATTGTTTGCAACAAAGTAAAAGAAGGAATTATTGCACCAAAATTTGTAAGATCAACAAACCAGCTAGCTGACATCTTCACCAAGCCTCTTCCATCTCCAGCCTTCAAAAGTTTTCTACTCAAATTGGACTTGGTAGATTTCCACTAAAGTCCAACTGGGGGGGGGGGGGTCTCGATATCATACAAAATAAAAAGGAAAGTTTTTTATCTCTCTCTGCCTCACTTTTTATACATATGGTGATCTATTGTTGATATTGTGAATGAATTGACAAAGTTCTTTAACAAAAAGCACTATGTCAAGTCCGTGAGAATAGTATATTGCAAAGCATCCGCCACTTGACAATATTGTTCTGGATTAAAGTAACATTGTCCACTCATTTTATGAGGGGTGGTGTGACAGCACTGGGAGGTGAACAAAACTTCATAGTTTGTCATCTTTATCTCTCAAGAAATCACAAAAGATACTTTTGCTGAGAGAAAATAATTGTACCTTTGGTGTATATGACCTCCATGCTGAGAAAGTAATATAATTTGTTCAATTCGTAAATTACTTATTGTTTTCTTTCATTGTAGCATGTGAGTTAGCTATGACAAGAATATTATTGACATAAATCAAAATAAATAGAAAAGTAGAGTCTCAGCATAAAATAAATAGTGAGTTGTCAACCTTATAGGAAACAAAGCTAGTTTTATGTGAAAAAAGACTATGATAAGTGAACAATGCCTTTAGTTCTTGCTTGAGCCCGTAAAAGATTTCGTGAAGATGACAAGCATGATTGGGCTACAAAGTATTAGTAAAGTCAGTAGGTTGAACCATGTATGCTTATTTTTTCAGATGTCCATATAAAAAAGTATTGAAGGCATCGAGTTGTTGATTTTACAATGAGATGAAAATGCAATTGAGAAACTTAACTAGATTGTGGCAATATTTTACTACAAGGCTTAAATTTTCTCTGTACTTAACCCTTCTTGTTGATTGAATTCCATTCCTACAAGGAGAGCACTGTAGCATTCAATACTACCATTTAAATTTATTTTAATACGAAACATCCATTTATTCCTAGTAAGATTGCAATTAAGATATCTGAAGAAAGTGATGGAGTCAAAGAAACAGTCTCCTCTGAGTCCTTCAAGGCTACCTCTCATTGTTAATAGGCACCAACTTGGTGGACAACTTCATCAATCTCTGTGGCAGATGTCGAAGAAATACGGTCCTATAGTCCGATTGAAGCTAGGAAGTGTATCTTTAGTTGTCGTTTCCTCAGCCGAAACTGCAAGATAGATTCTCAAAGTTGAAGATTTCCAGACTTACAACCGACCTAAATTGTTAGCCACATGCATTTTCTCTTACAATTATTTTGTTATAGGTTTTACTCCTTTTGGTGAATACTAAAAGGAGGTCCGCAAGATTAGTATTCATGAGCTTTTCAGCAACAGTAGATTCTAGTCATTTAGGTGCATCAGAGAGGAAGAGGTTGCTTTAGTCTTTCAATCGATCTCTCAATCTGCTGCTTCCAAGTCCCCTGCGGAATTAACCGAAAAGCCATTTTTCCTGACATCGGATGTGATCAGAAGGGTTACATCCGAAGGGAACTTTGAGAAGAATAAATACGAGGGTGGCGGGTTTCAAAGGGAGATCAACGAAATGATGTCGGTTATTGGATCCTTCGCTGCTTCTGATTTCTTTCCTTATGTTGGATGGATAATTGATAGGCTCATAAGCCTCAAAGGTAGGCTGTAGAAGAGTGTACAAGCACTGGATGCTTTTCTGTAAAAGACAATTGATAAGTATGAAGGACATAAGGAAGAAAAAGGGAAGTAGGATCTAATTAATGTGCTCTTAAAGATAAAAAAAGCAGCACAAGGAACAAGGCTCTATTACTCTTACCAAAACTCATATCAAAGCAATCCTTATGGTAGATATACCCTTTTTCTGATTCCATCTCCTTAATTTAAACATATTATTAGTAACCTCCATTTGTAGTGTGAAAATATATCAGAATATACATTCTATCCTGTTGCTTGTAGTAACATTTAATATACACGTGTCAGGATGTATATGTGGGTGCAATTGGTACTTTACAAATCACCATGATATGGACGTTAACAGAGCTTATGAGGAACCAAAAGTCACGAAGAAATACAATCTTATTTTAGAGATATTATGAGAAATAAAAAAAAGTCAACGAAGATGATGTTGGAAAACTTGAATACCTGAACATGGTGGTGAAAGAGACATGGAGACTTCATCCACCAGCTCCACTTCTAGTTCCAATAGAGGTCATGTCCCTCGTTGAGGTCAACGGTTACAAGATATACCCAAAGACTAGAATCCATGTCAATGTATGGGCCATCGAACGAGATCCCCAGATTTGGAAGGACCCGGAAGAGTTTTTGCTGGATAGATTTGCAGGAAGCCCGATTGATTTCAACGGACAACACTTCCAGTTATTGCCGTTCAGTGGAGGATGCAGAATTTGTCCCGATATCAACATGACAATTACGTTGGTGCAGCTTACACTTGCAAATCTTTTACATTGCTTTGACTGGAAATTACTAGAAAGGTTGAGCAAGGAAGATATCAACATGGATGAAGCTCCTGGAATCACTCTTCATAAGAAGACCAATCTTGTGCTTGTTCCTGTTAGCTATGTCTGATCTTCTCAAAACAGATCTCTTCTCAATGGTCTGCACTGTAGAATGAATTTTGAGCTTTTCAGTTTGCTTAATTCCTTGGATTGAAGTTTCGTTAAGGTTTTCTCCTTTCTGCAGTAAATGTTATGGTTTTATTGTAATTCAAATGTCATAATTTTGTTATTTTACATGAAAATATTACTTTTACAGTACTGTTACGGTCACAAAATTTTACTTTTTATTTTAACTTCATCTTTTTAAGCCTTAGAAAAAGATTTTTTTAGCCTTACAACATATATTTATGCCTAATAGATTATACATATATTTTTACTTATTACCTTCTAACTAGATTGTAGATTCATGAACTTGTACATCACTATTAAATGGTAACTTGTTTTTCATGTTCTTGAATGGTCTCCATGATAGTTTTAGGACTTCTATTTCTTGTTGCTTCAATTTAGACTGTTAAGATCGTGAGATTTTTTAGAAAAAAGGAGTACATTTGAATCGCAAAAACCTATAACAGTGTCTCTAGAAAAATTTAATGTGAAAGTACCTTTTTACTAATTTTCATTTGAGTTAGTGTGGTGGATTTGCATTCAAAATATTTGGGTACCAGCATCATAGCAAATCGTTGACACAAAGTCTTAATGGTTTAGTAGATCAAATAATTAAGGATAATACAAAATTAAAAAATTATTAATTCTCTTTAGACAGGAAAATAGATAATGCTAAAAATAGTGACCTAAGTCAACCCAAGTTTCTACAGGTAGACTATGCTACACACTCTACAAGACTCTAGTTAAGACAATTAAATGTGTTTTAAGTGAAGTTAAAGATAATACTTTGCTAGATTTGTGGCATAGGAGGCTATCTTATATGAATGAGAAATGATTGCAGATTCTACCGAAGTCTCTTATTCCATTTGCTAAAGGTATAAGTTTAAACCCTTGTGATAATTTGTTAAATAACAAACAACACAGAATTTTTTTAATCTCTGAAAGAAAAAAGAATGCATTTGAACTAGTTTACTCTAGTGTATATGACCTCATTAATATAGAGACTATAGGAGATAATAAATATTTTATTACTTTTATTGATGATACTTCACGAAAAATTTAGGTATTTGTTTTAAAAACAAAAGATCAAGTTTTACAATACTTTAAGTAGTTCCATGTCATGGTGGAAAGAGAAAAAGAACATTTAAAGTGTTTTTCTGATGATAATAGAGGTGAATACACTTTAAAAAAATAAGAATTATTGTCAGTAACACGAAATCAGACATAAGAAGATTGTTCTTAGTACCTCACAACATAATGTATAGTTGTAAGAACAAACAGAACTATCCTAGAGAAAGTCAAATACATGCTAAAAATGGTTAATCTACCTAACTCATTTTAGGATGAAGCACTTTACACTACTTAGTACTTAATGAATCGTTCTCCATCAACTCTTTTATATTTTTATATTTTTGAGAGTGTATGGTTTAGGAAGGATGTCACTTACTTTGACTTGAATATATTTGGGTGCAAGACATTTATGTGTGTGCTTAAGGAGTATAAATAAAAACTTGATGACAAGAATGTTCCATATATTTTTTTGGGTGACAGAGATGCAGAATTTGGGTACAAGTTATTAGATCTAGTGAATAAGAAAATCATCTAGTCGAGAGATGTGATCATTCATGAATACAAAACCTTGTTGGACTTTGAGACATCAGAAAAGAAAATAAAAAGTAAAGATATTCCTCATTTTGCACTAATTTCTCCTTCAATAAAAAATATCACAAATGAGAGAGAGTTACATAAATGACATAAAATTGATGGTTTGACAGCACCAATTAATATCGATGATGATGTTGATCAGGGAAAATAACTCTTTCCACCGTAGATAGTAAAAGAATGTTAAGTTGTAATTAATAGAAACAAGAAAATTGCTTGGAAAGTTCAGATTTTTATTAAATTATAACTTCAAATATATAGACCTACACCAAAACTCAAATATAAAGGAAAATGACAAAACAATATGCTAATATAGTTGAAAAATAGCAACAAACTGATAGATACTTTTTGCAACAAAAAGATAAAATTAAATCTCCTAATAATCAACTAAAGACTAAGACTAAACTTAAAAAGAAATTTTAAACAACTCCTTAGACAATCAACAAAGAACCTCAGGTTAAGAGGTTAACTGAAACACACCATCTATCTACTAAATATCTTAGTATTGCCTGGTTGGTCTACTAGGGCGAGGTGAATCCCAACCCCTTCGCTCGTGAGGTCTGTATCAATTTAGCTCAAGGAACTCTTTCTCATTCTAGTCCTTTCAAGACTGGTCTTTCTTCACCAAATTAGATGAGTCGTCATAACTCAGCGCCAACCTCCATTACTGCTACCGTTAGAGCTTTTATTGATCCTTTATCTCCCTCATCGTTAGGCAGTCATGCTCCCGATCAAACTCGAGTTCCTTGTGTTTTTATTTCTATTATATTATATCTCATTGTTTCATATTCTGTTATGTTATATTTGATAATCACCATCAATACCTTGATGTAAGTCCTAGATAATCCTTTATTCCACAATCCTGGGTTATTTACAACTAGTCAATTAAGAATTCTCAGATATACTAGTACTAACAAGTGCATCAAAGATGTAGTCATCAATTCTCCTGAGAGGTCATAATTACAGCAAATAAACTAAGATAGGGTTTGGCTAGACGTGCTCGGAATATTTTTCTTTTTCGATATGGCCTAGTTTAGATCGAATTTCTATCTAGCAGGAAGAAGCTCACTAATGCACTTTGGTTCACAAGTTTGGTGGTATATCTTAGTAGAGATATAGATAGGCTATGTAGTCGGGCTTAAGCCAGTTGAACCCAAGGTTTAAGCTTACGTATGGAGACTCTTTAAGGCTTTCATTAGGTATACATAGCTACACATAGGAGTTTCTTACAATACATATGGTTGTAAGTTCAACAAATGTAAATTTGATTATCAACTCTATAGTGTAATAAGAAATCAATTACATTATCTGAATTTCTTACATTATCTTAATATTCGCATTACCCATTTAGCTTCTCCCCCCGGGAACACCCCTTGTTTAGCAATGTAACACAGCTCCTAAGTGATAAAAATAAAGAAGAACTCATGTTTTTTCTTTTTTGATTACCTTCCTCGTGTATGTATAAGATTGAATCCATTTGATTTCTAAAACGGATTATTAATCTTTAACTTTTCGATAAATCCTTCATCAGTGGTTGTGAATGATTGATTTTTCTCAACCTTTTTAATATATCACAATTACTGAAGAGGGGAGCAAGAAAGCTGCTAAAAAGTTAATAAATCACAAGGAAAAAAGCTCAATAGATGAAAATAATATAGGTAAAGATGAGTTATTTAATAAGCTAATTGAACTTCCAAAAGATAGAAAAATCTTGAAAAATAAATGAGTGTATAAGCTTAAGATGGATGGAGAAAAACTAGTGAAGTATAAAGCTTAGTTGATAATAAGAGGTTCAATTAGAGGAAGGAGCTTGATTTTTATGAGAAATTTTCTCCTATTTTGAAAATAAACTCCATTCAAATGATTTTTTGTTTGATTGCTAGCTTGGATCTAGAGATGAATAGTTAAATGTGAAAACTGCATTTTTACATGATAATTTGGAGGAAAAAATCTATAAGGAGCAACTATCGGAATTTAAAGTAAAAGGGAAAGAAACATGGTTTACAAGTAAAAGAAGAGTTTGTATGGGTTGAAACAGGCTCCAAGACAATGATACAAGAAATTTGACTCTTTCATGGTGATTCATGACCATACCAAGAACCGATGCAGACCATTATGTTTACATTCCCTTATGGTAAATTTATTATTCTTTTGCTCTTTGTAAATGATATGTTGATAGTAGGATAACATGCTATAATAATTAATAGTTTATAAAAGAAATTGTTTGGATTTTTTTATATAAAAGACTTAAGACCAAGACAACATATTCTGAGAATGCAGATTACTTGTGATAGAAAGCTAATAAGTTGAGGTTGTCATAAGAGAAGTACATTAAGCAAGTTCTAAATATATTTAATATGAAGAATTGCAAGCCAGTTAGCATGCCTCTTACTAATCACTTTATACTTAGTTAGAAATCTTGTCCCTCTACTTAAAAGGAAAAAGAATAAATGATAGTAGTTCTTTAGTCTTATTATAGAACCTAGGATCAATTAGTGTGATCAAAAACTACACATATATTTTAGTATTTAAAATCCTAAAACTCTTAACAAACTCTCCCTACTTGACCTAAATTCAAGATGTAAATATCCACCAAGGTAATTGGGATGAGGATCTGAATTGATTATACACCATAAGAATGATTCTTGATAAGTAAAATAAATTATAGAGGGTTTGATAAAATGCCATAATGACTTACTTTGATAAGCTGAATAAACCTGTTGCTCAGCAAGATAGTTGAAGTCACCTTCTTAAAGAACATTCTCATAATTAGTAAAAAGCTAAAAACAAACTTGATTATTTTTATTGAGCTTGAACTTGTGAACTGCAAGGGGTGGGTAGTGGCCTCTTTATGTAGATTTTTCACCACTTATTTTATTTGAAAAAGAAATACACACTCCTACTTGAATACTTGATATTAATGTAATTAGAAAACCAAAACTTATTTAAAGACTTAACATGAGTAACGTCCCCGGAAATTTGAAATAAAATATGTGTATTAAAAAGGTCAAATGCGGAAGCGTAATAAAAATTTTGATTAAACATCCCTTACACTAAAACCAAAAACGTACTTAGAGTATAAAAGAACAAACTAACTAAAAGAGAAACTCGAAAATAAAAGCTATAAATATGACTACGGAGTCTTCAGGCGTCCCCTTCGCCGTCTTCCTGCGGAACGGGCTCGGGAACAATGTCTTCCTGATATGAAATGATTAAATAAGGAATGAGCTACACCAGCCCAGTAAAGACATCACACTATCTCACCGTCACGGAGGTAAAGGTGGGTAGAAAACACAAAAAGACCAATGGAGCATAGTTTACAACAAATTCTTTTATCAATAATAAAATCCTTTACTATCCACTTACCTCGATGAAATTCATAAAACAATATACGAAAGCAATAGCATTATCATCATCACGA